CAAGTGGACACAAAAAGAGTAGTGATAGATCAGGTCCGATTATCATCTGCCTAGATGTAAGAGAAAATAGACAGTAAATGGTATTAAATTCAGATACCACGCTCAAATGTGTATGATATTGCTGAAAAAAAAACACACAAAAACTACAAAACACGCTCACCCTAATTTTGGTATTGGTTATCCTGACGTTTAGGGCCTGAGTTTTCCTACTACAGTGAAAATTGTGTCCAACTATAAGATATACAATATGAAGATGGTAACAGGATGTAATAGTAATGTTTTTAAAATACCCAATGGTTGAACTAAACAAAGAACATAAAAAGCAAGAATCTGAGATACCACCATAAGACCAGTGTCAGTGTTGGACCAACTCTCATGCCCATTTTTATGTACACTAAGGACAGTCTTGGAATAGGAAATTGGTAGAGATTACAGTTTAAGAAATGAAATACACCACCATTATATTTCTGCTTCTTCGATTTTTATTCACTCCTGTGAAATTTTATCTTTGTTCCCTAAAAAATGTATAGAAAAGATGATGATATTTGTAAATACATCAAGAAGACTAAATCGTTCATCTACTTTAATATCCCTAATTATTTAACTGCAATATTGAAATTACATGCATCAGCATGCATATCTGAGGTGATGGTATCCTTTGAGTCCATACTCTCATAAGAAAAAGAATGCTCAGAAATCTTTGGCTCATAAACCCGGATAAATCTAAGATATGTGCATAAAACTTAGCATAATATGATTATGTGGCTGATTGAAAATTTTCTGGAAGGGGGTTATGTTCCATGTCCTAAATAATTGGTTGATCAAATTTGTCTTTGATTTTTAGATCTCTGGTCGCAATGCATTACCGTTCAGAACTAAAGGAAACATAGTAAAGTGTGATCTTTTTAAAGCAGCTAATAAAGTTTACTCAAAAAATGGCTTTTCAGCATTATGAATCATTTTATAGTTAATTAAGGCATCTAACAGCTATACCTAACAATTACAAATATCTACTTCATACAAAAGTGTTTACATTTCATTAAATTATAAAATGCATATTATTCTTGTGTTTCCTGTTGATAATTCATAATTGAATAGGTATTTTATAATCCTACTAGTATACAGGATTGTTTATTTTTGAGGCAAATTAAAAGACTAGCTTTCATTTTCTGTTAGTATCTCCAAAAACATGACTCTAGTCATACCCCTTTGTAATTTTATATTTCTCTACTATGGTAACATGAGCATTTCAAGCTACTCTAATTTATTTGTATGTTTATATCATATTCTCCTAAAATGTACCCCAGATAGGGAATTGACTGCCAAATGGTCATATAAATCAAGAAACTATTAATTTGCCCAGCAGTTTCTATTTATACTTGGTACTGTGTAAGAACTCAATAGATGTGCTTATCAGTTTTAGGTGGATAATAGTGAACTTGGCGCATATTTATAGTGGTTTGAATGAAGTAATGACCCACCTTTCTGATGTTCACACCCTTCTGATCCTTGCCATTTGTTAGTGTCCTCCCACTCAGACTTTGGGCTTCATCATATGATTTGCCTTGGCCAACGGGACAGTAACAAGCAAACAGAACGTAAGCAAAGGCTTGAAGAGCACTTGCACATTAGTGTTTACCCTCTTGTTGTGCTTGACATGCTGCCACTGTGTAAAGAAGCTCTAGCTAGCTTCTGGATGATGAGACACATGAGACACAGCACTCAATCATTCCCATTACCCCAGCAAACAGCGAGCCTAACTCCAGACGAGAGTGAACCCATCCTACATCATGGAGCTTCCAGCATTAGCAATCCCAGCCAAGATCAGCAGAGCCTTGCCAAATCACCAGAAGTGCCCATCTGACCTGTAGACTTTGCAGCAATAACAAATGGTTATTCTTTTAAGCCACTAAGTTATGGATTGGTTGGTTACACAGCAATAAATAAATGATACAATATGTATAGGAAATAGATAGCAGAACAAAAACATCTTTCCAAAGAACATTAACATTTTCATAGCATGTATCTGTCATTATATTAAAATTCCTTAATGGGTAACTAGATTTTCAATGTAGGAGACAATCTTGGATATGACCCTCTTTCTATCCTTGGCTTTATAAACATATCCTAACCATTTGTCAAGTCAATAAATAAATATTAGGCACCAACTAAGTGCCTGGAACAGCACTAGATGCTGAGAATACAAGGATGAATCAGCTAGACTCCTATCTCTATGTTCATTGAGCTTATGCTAAAGTCAAGTTATTGGATTAATATAACATAGTCTGTGATACTTGCCATGGAAAATTCTTTGCTCTTGTAAGTCAAGGTGAGTTCCAAAAATAACTTTATTTGTATATTTCATTATATCTGCCCATGATCTTCCCCTTCTAGAAATTCTAGAGATACAATATTCACTAGTTCTGCATTAATATTTCTATTCTCCCTTTTTTGGGGGAACATGGTACACTTTCCTATCTTCAGTAGACTGCAAAAGTGGCCACAAATTATTTCGTTTCCTCTGTCTACAGTCCTTTACAATGTGACTTGCAGCTCTTCCTTTTAAGAGGTAAAATCTACTTCCCCACATTGGCTTTGGGTTTGGCCATGTGACTTGCTTTAGCCATTGGAACTGGAGCAATTATGACCCAAGCTGAAGCTTAAGAGGTGCTTGTGCATTGGTGCTTGCTCTCTGTGGCTCTTGAGACCCTGTAACTGTCACCATGTGAACAAGCAAGAGCTAGAATTTTGATGGTGAACGACACCCAGCTTGATTGCCCTGTTGTCCCACTGACAGTCGGCTCACCCTCAGAAACAGAGCTGCCTCTCTGACAGGCAACTAATCACAAACACCGGAGTGAGTCTAGCCCAAGCCAGTAGAACTATCCAGCTGAGCCTAACACAAGTTGCCATTCCACAGAATCATGAGCTAAACTAATAGTTGGTGTTTTAAGCTATTACATTTTGAGGTGGTTTGTTATGCCTGCAAAGCACTCTGATATATCACTCCTTTAAAGTTAGGCATGGCCATATGATTCACTCCACCTAAGAAAACATGTCACTTCTAGCAGAAGCCTTTAAGAGCTGGACAGTGATTTAACATCTTTTTCTTGTCCTGATGACTGTGAGCTACCTGACAGTGAGGCTACGTAAACCCGGGTCCCTGAGTGGACATGGAACACTCTGCTCCACCCTCTCCACATCAACTTTTGGAGGATATGTAGTTTAAGTAAGAAATAAATCTTTGTATTAAACCACCAGGATTTTGGGTTTCTGTCACTGGAGCATAACCTAGCCCATTCTAACTAATGCAGAAATTGGTACCTAGAAGGACAGTTACGACAGAAAAACTAAAATATGTGGCTATGACTTAGAAGCTTGGCGGGGGGTAGCAAGGAAACTGTTGTTGGAGGCTGGAAAGTTGGCGATCCATGCTAGCTGTGGTAAAATATTTGCTAAAACTGTTCCTGTGTGTCTCCTGTTCTTCCCAAGTAAGAATGTTTACCATGGTTATTCTCTCCCTGTCTCACCACCATATGTTGAGTGTGTGTGTGTGTTTAAGTGGGGAGGATAGATATTTTGTCTTTTCAGGTCTCTATAACAAGAGCAGCTTTATTCTGTTCTGATAAGGGGAGTACCAAGCACCACCCAGAGATGCTAGACTTTGAGATTAATGCCATTACTGAATAGAACTTTTGGATTGTCTCACTTGTGATAGGAGTGAATGTATTTTGTAGTGTAAGGACTGTGAACTGTAAAGTGGTGACTAGAAGGATGGATTGCAGTAATCTTTGGTGCTGTTCACGGTAAACTCAGGTTATCTTCCTTATGGGCAAATAGTAGGATTATACTTCCTTGCTCCCTTGAAGATGGGGATGCCCATATGATTTCCTTTTGTCAATAAAATGTGAGTGGAATTGACTTGTATCACTTTCAGGAGGAACCAGCTTGCCATTCATCTTCCTTCTGCCTATCATGCAAGTGGGGAAGTTCCAGAGATTGGAGTGAGCCTCCCTAAGCCATTTGATTGCTTGATGAGAATGTGGAGTGAAGCTCCCTGCCTCCTCCTACCAGAGAAGAACATGCAGATAAGCAGGAAACAAAATTTTTTGTTGCTTTAAGCCACTAAAATTTTTGGATCTTTTGTTACTGCACCATAACCTAGCGCATCCTAACTAATGTAGATTCCTGGAAGCATGATCAGGAAAGCTACAAAGGCTAGTCATCTTAGCAATTATGACTGGAATCAGTAACTGAGACCATCCACTGAAAATTCGCAAACTACCTTCACTAGTGATTTCACTTTCTTCTCCAATTCTGACCATTCTAGAAAAGGTGACTATGAAATTTCAAATTTCTTTTTTTTTATTTGTGAAAATGTAAAACTACATCTTCACTATTGAGAGGTAACAACAAGCAACGAAAGACTTTCTCGTAGGGAAAAAAAAAAAAAAAAGGAAGGTGAATAAGGATAAGCCACAAAGAGGGAGGGCGGAACTGAACTCAGAATTCATAGGAGTTTCCAAGAAGAATCAAAACGTATTTCTCACAGACTTGTGCATACATTTCCAGTAATACACAGTACTTCTCAGCAAACTTTTGAGTGTCTTAGCTTTGGTTGGGCCCTGTGCACATATACAGAAACAGACGCACAACTTCTCTGGTGCAAAAGTAAAAACGTCACTGGAGTTTATATCTAATGAACAGCTTTCTCTCTCTCTAAAGAAGAAATATTTTCTCTATCACAGCGTAGAATTCATTCCATAACATTTGTAAAGTGCTAAATCCAATGCCACGCACTCTACTAGGGTCAGGAAAGTCCAAGATGTCACAGTACAGAAGTCACAATGGGTCGCTGTCCTCCAAGAGTTTCCATTTTGCGAAGCATAAAGTTTCCCCTTTTAAAGTTTTCACCCAGCCACACCCAATCTCCCGTAAATAATTTCCGGTAAAAAGTCCCCGCATCCTTCCCCTAATCCTTACAAATATTCTCACTTTCCGAGATCTCTTCGCCCTGGAAACTGCAATCACTGCGGATCTCTCTCTGGATATTTGGCAGTTTATTTCAGATGCAGCCGAATGACCCGCTTGCTGTTTCCCTGCAGTAGCAAGATGACCGTGACCCCCAAAAGTTTCCAGCACTTAAAGCACACAGCGCAGCCTGAAGCCGCAAGGGGCCGACAACTCTTGCGGCTTCCCCCGCCCTTCTATTGCGGAGCCTAGGAAAGCTAGGTCGGAACGCGGGCCACGCACACTCCTGGGCGCAGGGAATTGGAGGCTAAACCCACAGGCAGCGCTGCGCAGAGAAGTCAAAGGCCAGTCTGCAAGTCGAAGCGTGTGAGGAGCACTGAAGAGTGCCCATCCCTGCTATACTACAAGGACCGGCATGCACCGCGCCGCGGCGGCAAGTCCCACTTCGAGACCCCGACGCAACGAAGCCTGGGAAGTGAAGTCTCTGGGCGTCCCGAGTCGCGTCGCGAAGGCAGAAGGGAGGCGTTGCTAGTCCGCTCCATTAGCACGCCGGTTCCTGGCCGGGCTCCGAGCCTCTCGCTCCCGCTCTGGGTTTTCGCGGGCGGCGGGAGCAGTATGGCTCGCTTGAGTAAACTCCGGAGGGAGGGGGGAGAGGGGAGTGGATGGGGAGGCGGGGTCAGCGGAAGCGGCAGGTTGCTTCCTTCTCCTCTCGCTCCCTCCCCGCCTCTCCCTGAGGGAGCGGTGGGAGGGGGAGGGAAGGGCAGAGGGAAGGTAGTGACACGTGTCAATCAACCCCCCTCCGGGGGGCGCGCGCTCCGGGGCTCGCGCCGAGGGCTCGCGCCCCTGCCTCGTGCCTGCGCCGCTCGTATGTAAATGAGGGCGCGTGACGCGGGACGCAGATGGACAAGGGAAGAGAGAGAATGGCCGCTGCCGCCGCCGCTGCTGCCGCCGCCGCCGCCGCCGCCGCTGCTCAGTGCCGGAGCCCTCGGTGCGCGGCGGAGAGGAGAGGATTCCGGCGGGAACTCGACTCTTGGCGCCACCGTCTCATGCACTGTGTAGGTAAGAGAGACACGGGCCGGGGCCCCGGCTCGGCGCAGCGCCGGCTGCCGCAGCCCGAGGAGTTTGGGGCTGAGAGGTTTAGTTGAATCTCCCGTTCGGGTCAGTTCAATGGGCGAGCGAGATGGGAGCGGCGGCGGCGCGGCGGCTCCGGCGCTCGCCTTTTGTCTGGGGGCTCCTCGCCGGCGCAGTCCGCGCTCCTTCCCCTCCTCAGCTCCCGGGCTCCCGGGGAACTGTTAGTTCGGACCCGCTTGCCGAGCCCCCGGGGAAACCGCTCGCTCGCGCGCTCCCCGAAACTCCTCGGCGCCCCTCGCCGCCCGCCGTCCACCCTGTCAGGAGGGAGGAAGCGGCCCGGCGGGTCGGCGCCCGAGCGGAGGGGCGCCGGCGGGCAGGGCCGGCGGGAGGAAGGCGGGCTGGTCCGCGCCCCCGCCGGGCGCACACACACCCCCTTCTCGCCGCCGGGGGCCGGGCCGGCCGACGCGGCGGAGTTCTCGGGGACCCGGGCCCGGGCGACCCCCCGGGCGCTCGCGGGCGGGGGCCGCGGGTGGGCCTGCGGGGGGCGAGGGGCGGCGGGGGCGTCGCCCGAGGGGCGGGGGCGCCCAACTCTGCCCTCTCGCGCTCGGCGGCGGCGCTGTGTGTACCTCTTTAAGAGGGAGCCGCTTGAGCGCTGACGGTTGGGATTTGAAGTTCTTCCTCCCTCTTTGGAAGTCTGGACGGATGGGGGGGTGTTGCTATGGCGACGGCACCCTCCCCCCCCCCCCCCCGGTCTCCTTGCGGACGCCCCGACGACTCTGGTCCTCTTTTGCTGTCATGTGATGGACCCTTCCCAGCGCACACATGCACATCGCCCTCCCCACCTCCCATCCCGCTCTCCTGCCGTTCCGTCTTCCCCGTTGGTCAGGTCCGAATCATCTTGCTTCAAACTTCTGGGCTCGGGGCTGTCATTCTGCGCGTTGCTCCGGGTGGCAGGAGTGGTGGGAACTCCCCACCTTGCCGCCGTCGCTTTTTTGTCTGAGTGAGACGTGCGCGTGGAGCTGTTAGCCAGCAGGTTGGTTTAGTGGCACCGGAGGGAAAACGCGGGTTCTGGGATGGGGTGTGTTGTGCCTGTTTGTTTTGGAAGGGGGTTATGGGTAGGAGAGTAGGGGAAGAGGTAGAAAGGAAGGTTGCATTGTCTAAGGAGTGGATAAGTGGCACAGCTTGCTCAACTGGCGATTAAATCTTGGCGTTTGGAGTCGAGGAGTAACCTTAGTGCCTTAAGAAAACAACTCTTACCTTGTTTCCATCTGTTCTTGCGCCACCTCGCGCCCCTTCCCCCCGCCCCCAGATTTGTTTGGTTAGCGCCGTAAGATCTTTATTGTTTTTCACTAGTGAAAAGGAGATCGTAGTAGGATAAACTAGTACAACTTCAGCTCAGAGATGTGCACTGCGGAATACGATGGATATAGGAAAACGTACGAGAAGGAAGATTGCTCTGATTAGGGGCATCTAAGTTATATTTAAGCATTTTTCTGTTTTACCCTTAAAAAATATGTTTTGGTTTTGTCTAGGGAAACTTCCTGGGAAACAGCTCTAGTCAAGTATTAATGAGTGATTTTAGTTTTTTAAAAAAGTGTAAAAAAGCCTTACGGTATTCTTCATATAAAATTTTAAGCTGTGTTGCTAGTGTTTCCTGAATACAAAATGGACCCGTTTTTATAATTGCTTATGTAAAGATCTCTTCCACTGACAACCTGTTTAGAAATTGTTGATTTCATTCAGTTAGAATCGGGCAGGAGGACAGCATTGTAACGCTGATTCGCAATATTACTGTTAAGTTTTGCCGAGGCACAAAATGATTTGACGGTTTCTTTGGTCAGTGTTTATGTTTTAGAATATTTGGGCTTCTTTTTTTCTCATCTTCTTGCTTATTTAGATACATTAAATATGGCTCTGTATCACAAAAATATATGTGCTTTTCAAAAATAGATTTTAAAGACAAAATTAATTGGATTTGATGGAAAAAGGGAATTAGAATATCTTTCTGCCGTTCCTACTTGTATACTCAGGTAGGATCGGAAGACGTTGAAAATTGAATAAATACTGTGTGTCTAATATGCAATCTCTACATTATATTTTAAATATATAATTATACTGTATTTGAAAGGGAATTTTTTTCCTGGGCTCTAACTGTATTTAAGAATTGTTTCCCACAGTCCCAGTCCTAGTCAAGAGTCCTAGTAAGACCCATCTCATATTTTGTTTTTGTCATTGTTATTTTTAAATAAACAATAAAACTCTTTAAACAGGATATACACTTGTTGATTGGCTTTTTCCAGTATCCTGTATGTGAAGCACCTTCAGTGTGAATTGGGATTAAATGTAGTTTGTGGTAGTTTGTGTAGTTAGTATGTAAAATGTAGTTTGTGAAGTTACCTTTTGTGGTTAATGTGCTTACACTCAATACTTTACTTTGTAAACATATTTACAAAAAAGCCATGTTCTTTTTTCTTTGCATGAATGCATGTGTGTGAATATATATGTGTATATATATTTCTGTATTGCTTATTGCTTGAAATCATTTTTGTGAAATACTATGCTTTCTATCTTTGAGGAAGAAAGTGATCCAAAAGTCTTATTTAAAAATGAGATATGGAAATTGTAAGCAGTGTCTCAGGGTCATACAGCAAATTGGTACTGAGCCAGTAGAGAAGTTTTAAATCTCAGTTCTTAGCCTAAGTCTTTAAAGTAATCTGATTCATTTTTTTATTACTCATATATAATACTCTAATTTTATGGGGGAAAAAGTTGATTTTAGTTGTCGTGACTGCTGGTAGTTAGCTAAGATTTTTAACTCTTGATATGAAAAATGATGTTTACCTTTCTCTATTTGTGGAACTCATCTCTTTAGATTAGATTTGTGACTACTCTGTGATTTACTTTTGGTTTTCCTTTTTAATGATTTAATTGAAGAGTTGTCCTATAAGCTCTGTGTCCCAATTAATAGCTTTATTTACAATGTGGTGCTTTTTATAATTTGATTTTTTTAATAATCATTCTCTACTATGCTATAATTTTGAGTATGCTCATCTAACAAATGTTTGAGTGTTTATTGGATATTGTAAATAGTATCCTAGTACTCAGTATAATATTGAACAAAACACATATAGTCCTGATCTTATGGAATATATAATACAATTAGTATCTGATAAGTCATAAAATTTAAAACAAAGTATAGGGTAAAAGAAATGCATTAGTATATTTTTAAACATTAGCAAGTCTTGTACGGTCTATTAGGATATTTGATCTCAGAGATAGGCCACGTTTTTTGAAGAATAGTGCAAGGACTTCCTGTATACGCTTACCCATATTCACCAGTTGTATTAAATTTTCCTCATTTGCTTTATCGTTCTTGCCTTATATCCATCTGTGTGTGAGTGTGTGTGTGTGTGTGTATGTTTTATTTCTGAACTGTTTGAGTGTGACTTGGAGACATCATACCTCTTTACTTCTAAATCCTTCAGTGTATATTTCATAAAACCAAGGACATGGTCTTACCTAACCACAGTGTAATTATTAAAAGCAGGAGATTTAATATTGACGTAATATTATTATCTAATTTATAATCTATATTCAAATTTTGTCTGTAAGCTTTCCCTGTGCCCCAGGCCGGGATCATGCATTGTATTTGGTCGTCATATCTGTTTAGTGTCTTTTTAATCTAGAACACTTCTTCACCCTTTCTTGTATTTCTTGACCTTGACATTTTTGAAAAGTACAGGACAGTTATTTTGTAGACTGTCCCTCCATTTGAATTTGCCTGTTGTTTTCTCATGATTAGATTGGTTATGCATTTTTGGCAGGAATACCTCTGAAGGGATCTTCTGTTCTTCTTAGTATGTCATATCTTGAGGTTCGTGATGTTGGTTTATTCCAATGTTGGTGATGTTAGCTTTGAAAATATGGTTAAAGTGATATTCTCCTTATTTCTCCCTGACGGTTATTATTTATCCTTTTGTAATTAATGTGTAATTTATGGGAGGATACTTTGAGGAACAGGAAATTTACATAGTCTCATCAAAATTTCACTCACAAGTCTTAACATCCATTTGTGATTCTCTAACTTCATTGTTCCCTCTATAATTAGTAGTTGGTATTCTGTCATAAAGCACTCTTTCCCATCTCCCCATTATTTATTTATTTATTCAGTTATTTCTATCAGTATGAACTGATGGATTCTTATTTTGTTCAATGGTTAAATCCATTACTATCATTATTTTGATTCCCAAATTGTCCCAGGTTTGGTCAATGGGATCCTCATCAAGCTAGTTCCAGTGTTTTTTGACAAATCACACCTCTCCTCAAACTCTCCCACCCCATGATATTTTGAGCACTTCCTTCCTGTCAGATATTCCAGGTTCATCTTGTACTTTACTTGTCCCAGCCCTGACATCAGCCATCCCTCCAAGGAGCCCTTCGTTCTTTTTAGTGGAGAATAAATTTAGGTACCAAAATCTGAACACTAGGTTTCACTATTGTTCTTAAACCCTATTTTTCTGATACAGAAGCTAATAGTCAGTTAACTGATTCACTTAAGGTTGCAACAGTGAAACAAAATGGTGAAGATTTGATTAGAATCTTTCTATAAACTTTCCTACATACTTGTCCAGTGGAAATATAATGGGAGCCGAATATGTAATTTAAAATTTTCTAATAAGCACATTTTATTTAGCCTAATATATTTAAAATATTTTAACATTAATCCATATAAAATTATTAGGTTTACATTCTTTTTTTAATATTAAGTCTTTGAAATCAGGTATTTCATATATATATGCACATCTCAATTTGGACTAGCCACATTTCGGGTGCCTGTAATAGCTACATGTGGCTACCGCGTTGGACAGCACAGTTCTGTAGTGTACTGGCTCCAGCCAACTCTTCATAACCATGGTGCCACTTATTTCAAATGTGTTGATAATAAACTATGTTTCCCCAAATCTTTTATTTGGATAGAATAATACAGC